ATATAAAGTTAAGTCTGATAAAACATTTTATGAAGGCTTTCCCTAATAAATGTATGTTTGTTTGAAGTATATCTTTCAACAGTTTCCACACCGTTCAGAAACTAAACTTTGACGTAGGAATCTTCGTTGGACCTGACATTTAAAAAATGGTGTTAACATTATACTTTAATCTACAATGACCTTGACCAATGACCTTGAATGACTAATTGAAAGAAGTCGTTACAATTGAAAATAAACCATAATTTTCCTTTAAAATACGTTTAAAGTAAAATTATGTAGTAAATACATTATCTCTCTCTTTCTCAATTCTTTAATATACAATTGGATTAAAAGCTTAAACAGTTACAAAATATATAAGAGCTGTTGGTGACCGTGTTGAAAATATTTTTCAATAGTCAATTAGCTAAATTAAAGGACTTAAATGATAACGTAATTACCTTTCTCAATGTTTTTTAGTTTGGGTTGTAATACCAATCAGACCAGCCTTCATTAATGGCTGTGTTAACTACTTGTAATATTTAGAATAGTTTAATCAAATAAATACAATTGACCCACAGTTAACCCCCGCAGGTCGACACACCTGCGTATTTTAGCGTATTTAGTATTATGTGTCGAAATACGTCACAAATATTTATTATTCAAATTACTTGACACCATTTGGGCGATTCATGCTTACAACACTTTAGTCGACGTCAATATTTCTAAATTGAGTGTTAAAATCGCCGCCATGCGCCCTGTGATGTAAGTGATTTCGAGATGTGCAATTTGTTCGAAATATTGTTTTCCTTTTTTAAATATATATAATGAAGGATAAGAGAGGCATTGGACGTAGGCGTATATCCTGGCTAGCTAATGTTTGAAGAAGGAGTGACCTGGTCTAACGTCAACTAATTTTTTTCGAGCTGCTGTGAATAGAATAAGATAGGTCAATGTGGTCGCCAAAATCTCTAGAAGATATGCACATTTAGAAGAAGAATCTAATGAATAGGTACGTCAAATTACGAAATGTAGTTTTTATTGCAATATTATCTGCAACATGGCAATATCATCTGCAAATGCATATTTGCGGATAATACCATACAGTATTACTATACAAGATGCAACAAAATGAGTGAATGTAAAACAAGATATATATGTCAGTTTCAGCTTACAAGCGAAGCAGTAACATCTCCGAAGATGCCAACCCCTAGTGTTGGCGAAACGTCAAGAACTAATCTCCGAAGACAACGGCCTAACAGCCCGAACAAACAGCCTAACAAGTTAGACGATGGCCGTGAAAGCCTAACGCATTTTATCAAGATATATAGAGTGCGAAAAATCGGATAGACATAGGAACCTAGAGGTGGAGAACCATACCTCCGAATCGGCCTCCAGCTTTCCGTACTTGGGCTTAATATTAAATGACAACAACGTCAGTCAAGAAATACAAGCAAGGATTCTAGGCGGTAATAAGTGCTTTTATATATACATACAGACTAAGAATCTACAAAACAGTTATTAGACAGTGGTCACATTTGGATGCGAAACGTGAATTCTCTTTAATTGGGAATATTTGAGCGCAAAATACTAAAAATGCCATGAAATCGAGCGGTAAAACTAATCCGGAAATGGAAGTTCAAAGGCAAGGACAAGACGAAAGGAAAGCACCGTAAAAGATGGATGGATGACGTAGAGTACCTTAAAACCATGATCATCAGGCGGTGAAGAAGGAAAGTCTCCGACAGGGCAGAATGAAAGGACATTGTTAAGGAGGCCAAAACCAATAAAGGCTTGTCGCGACAGGATAAGAAATTTTCATTATTTTTATTATGTTGATATCCTACTTATTGTTCTCCAAAATATCGTACTTTTATGTATATTTGTTTTGTTTTTGTTTCATATAAGTGCGTTGAGGTAGTCTAGACTTCTGTAAGTCCGGATTATAGTAGAAATGTATCATGTGCATATTTTTGTTAAAAATTTATAGTTTATTAATTTGTATTAACGTAGAACATATATTTTCTAAGGCTTTATTGGAAAAGAGTTACGAATAGAGGTTAAATAGCACGGGGAACAATGCCTAGTCCTGCGTTATGCCTTATTGATTTTTATCTATTGATTCTAATCTTGATTAGTTTGACGTCATTATCATCAAAGTTAGTTTCGCAGATATAACATTTTACGATAATACAAGATTAAGTACTTTTTCGAAATCGGCCTAGCAAAGAAAGGCAACAATCTTTTGTTGATTGTGACACTTCTGTAATAGTATGTTGAGATAAGACAAAGCCACTTTTATTCCCATTCCTTATGTAAATCCAAATCCAAACTAGTCACAACCCACTTCCTCCTAGTACTTTTTATGTAACCTGTTCCGAATTATCCTTACATCAACTTTGAAATTTTTACTATTGGAATTGGAGTTTCATTAGAAGTATTTATAATAAGATCCAATAGAGCAGTCCTTGTATTTATCTTTCCATCTTGTATATTATTTTTGGTATTAAAATTATCGGCTTTTATTAAGTAGAGGGTAATTATGTCTTTGCTAATATATGCAATTTCCTTCACTTTCTGTATCTATAAAATATTCACGTCTCGTTAACTAATTCTTCAATTTATTTAGATTTCTGCTCTAATTCTTTTTTATTTTCACGTTTCCATTTAATGATTTTGTTTCCTCCTTCCAAAATGTGTGATTTTATCAATCTCTTGTGTTTGACCAGGATGTATTTAATTTCTTCTCATGTTATATTTGTATTCCCAGTTATTATTAGTAGTCTTGATGATGCAGAGGAATTCCCTACGCTTAAAATAGGATATGGAACATTAAGAAATTATTAGGCTTATATTTTAACCATTTTCTTTATTTAGGCGACTGACCTTAAGTTTAGTCTTGGGCTTTTTTATCATCTTAATTTTTGTAGTTCAACAACAAGATTCATGAATTAGAACGCGAATAACTATGCAATTTATATTAGGTAAACGAGTATAACGAGTAAATATAACAATGGTGATATACAAAAAAAATTGTAAAGGTCACTATCGCCCTAGAAAAAAAGAAGTCAATAATAATATTAATAATAGATTTCCATGCCAAATTAGAAAACGAAGTAAATACAGATGAAAGCAGAATACAATATATACTGATGAACTACTTGGAAGAGAAACAGCTGTTTGCGATGAATTTATTTTTAATAAAAAACCTCTAGATGATATCGAAAAGGCAAAGGAATATCTCACGCCCTTTAATATGACATTCGTAGACTTAAAAAAACATTATATACAATAGAACATTGGACAGTAATAAATGCTTTAAAGAATGGAAGAATTGACTACCAATATATAGAACTAATTTCGAATATATAACAAAACGCAACCTTAAACAAACTGAACCCATTAAAATAAAACAGGATGTCAGACAGGGAGATACCATATCACAAAAACAGTTTAACCAAATACTCAAAAACATCTTTAAAAAGCTAGACTGGTAAAACTTGGTATTGACATAAAAGGACAATATCTAAACCACTTGCGATAATTGGCGAAAATTCAAATATTATTTAAGATGAGCTGTGATAAAAACAAAAACACCTTAATAAAACAAGAAGAAGTCCTAAAAATCACAGTAGTATAACAAGTGACAAGGCAAAACTTTTAACAATCATCTTTGATGACGTTACCCTAAAGCGTTCTGCATCGATAATTGGGAACCTGTGTGTTCCAAATTTGGCATTGAAATTGCGGAAAATGATGTGAATGTGTCCATTCTTCATTAATTTCGTGACTTGTTGTAGATCTTCACATCCTTAGTCCATTCTAGGTCAAATTAGATAATCCTACTTCACTCATACCTAGTATTTGTATATATTTCCAGCTGTGTATAAGCTTTTTGACAGGTTGAATGGTTTTGAGCAGGTTTGATTTAATTTTGATTCTGCCGTAGGAACTGGCACTATGTTTTTGATGTATTAATCATAAAAGCTTGATTGAGAAAAATAGTAAAGTGGTCTCCCATTGCTTTTCTCATGTTATCTAACAAGGTTTTCTCTCTAAGCCGGATGTTCCAGTGTTCAGACGCCGATTTCTCGTAAGCAATAGGCGCTTGAAATCTTCATTATATATACTAAAACAAAAAGTCGCATTAGCAAACTTATTTACTTTGCTAAATCCACAATTTCTTGTGAAGTTTTGGTAAGTTACGTACACAGTATGTCGATCTACATTTTTTAAATGATATTAGGATAAGTACTAATTATAATACTTTTCTTAAAGAATACTTCAAGAAAACAAATTCAAGCCTCTAATTTTTGATAAATACTTTTATCGTTAAAAACATTGGTGCCACGCTAGACATGCACACTCTGCTATGATGATCAATTTTTAAATTTATACTTCTATGTCGAATGACAAAATGAAGTCGTATGTTGAATGACACTAGCCGAAGAAAAAAAATCGTGAAAGACCCGGTTTGCAATAGAAACAAGTCCTTTTTCATCATGACAATGCACCGTGTCATATGGGCATTTTGACAATGGCTAAAATCCATGAATTAACGTTCAAATTGTAGAAGCGTCTACCGTTTTCACCAAATCTGGCCCCTAGCGGCTTACATATGTTTCAACACAAAAAAAATTAATGTGTGGAAAGCGTTTTTCATAAAATGATGATATCATCACACCTGTAGAAGCGTATTTTGCAGACCATCCAGTTTCGCATTTCAGGAATGGAATTCATAAATTGGAATCTCGTTGGAACAAGTGTATTGATCCTTTTGATTCATTAGAAAGATTATACTGAATAATAAAGTGTATTTCAATCCATAAAATTGTGTTTTTCCTATCAAACTTCAAAACTCATTGAAGAGTGTAGAACTAACAGCTAAGATGGAAATGTAAACTCGTTATGATGACAACAAATCTGAAGGTATCATTTATCAATCTTCCAAAATCTGGTATATAACAGACAATCAATTTGTTAGTAATAGTTGGTACAATAATGTTAAAATAAATCCTACGGGTAAAATGAACATTTTATTACAAATTTTGATCAAATAATACAGATGATTAATATTCAATTCTCTTTTTATATACAAAACATTCAAAGTTTTTTTTAATAACAAAAAATGAAATACACTTTGCGACTTTGCAGAAATATTTTTATAATAGGAACAATAATAAAACCAAAACTTCCAATGTCGCTGTACAGAAATATTTTTATGTACAGAAATACTTTTCCAAAATTTATGATTATTATTTTTTTAATTTCTATACTATTCTAAAATTCGTGACAATCTTACTCATGTTTCATATCTTACAAAAGTGTACAATTTAATTAACGCAATATTGATCTTGAAATGTCAAGTATCGTGCATGTTTTGAATTGGAATTTGTTTAAGCTCTCTTATATTATCGACCTAAGTTTGTTCAAGCATCATTTCTAATTAATATAATTATTGTTAACCCTCTAATGCATTTCACACTAAATGTCGGAATAATGAAAACAAGGGTAAATATGTTTGTTTGAACAGTACAAAAAATAAAGGAAACGGATAAAATGATGTATATTAAATTAGAAAACCGGTGTTCGCATAATGGATTAGTGGACTTAGCAATAAATAGCTGGATATCTCTCTAAGAAAACCCAAAGTAAGATATGCCTCAACTGGTAAAACTTATGTAAATTAACTGTATTCTGAAATAAAAAGGCAACGGGATAGAATAACCACGGAAAAAATGGTTAGAGTGATTTTTAAATTACTCAAAATAGGGGGAGGAAGGGAAGACTAAAAAAAAGCCACTGTCCAAAAACGGACGTTTATCAGAGGTTTGAAATATCTGAATTGTTATATGTTTCTTGATTATTTTAAATATTTTAATAGAAAGTATGAGAACGGAAACATCTAAATGGAAAATTGACAGGTCCAGGCATAGTTAAGGTAAGGTAAGTACATATTAAAAGGCCTAAAAAATGCAATTTAAAAAAAATTCAGCTCCTTTATTAGATGAATTATTTTTAAATATTATTTTATCTTTGAGATAAACAAAAAAAATTAGTTCCTTTGAATAGCCCGTTTTCTAGAGGGCGTCTCAAAAAAAAGGTAACCGATGGCAGACACTAACTTTCAGGATTGGCACATCTAAAACAAAAAATTCCAACGGGATTACTTGGAAAGTAAAGGAAAGTGCCCTTGCACAAGACAATCCACTACTTTTAATCGAAAATTAAAAAAAAAAACAACAAAATGGCGGACATTTGAACAAAAGTTAAAAAAAATTATTTTTTTTACCAATTTTTGAATAAGAAAATAACTTGTTCGACTTTTTTTTTCTAAAAAGTGGTTAATTGTCTTGAATAAGGGCGCTTTCTTTAAGTAATCTGTTGAATTTTTTTTATTTCATATGTGCCAATCCTGAGAATTGGTGTCCTTTTTTTAGACGGATACCTTTTTTAGACTATAACTTAGAAGCCCTCTAGAAAACGGGCTATTCAGGGCAATTAACAAAAAACATTTTGAGAACCAATTGAGTATAATTAACAAACCACTGATACATATAACTCAATAATTAAAACAATTACCTCCACACTACCAAAGCAAGTAAAGCGGCGGGTTGTCTTAATGACACAATCTGGAAGAACAAACACCTAAAACAAGACACACACACAGTGGAGACAAGACCTGACACATCTAAAACGAGACGAGTGCAAGAAACAACAGAGATGAAAATACTCCGACGAAGGAGAAGTCTGTTGGATAGGGAGAGAAGCGAAAACATAAGAAAAGCGTGCAATATAGAAGACATATGTCAACATATAGAAGACATCAGAATGGCAGATGATAGAATAGTACGAATAGTACGAGATAAGTCACCAAATGGACAAGAAGTATTGACAGACCAAGAAAAAGATGGTGCGACAATTTAATCAATTTAGGAGGCTAACATTGAAGAAGAAACAGGCTTTAAAGCCTACATACTAGAAGGAATAAGAAGAAGACCTCCACACTCGAGAGTAATAAAGGTCTTTGGTATATTTCGGGTATCTTAGCCAACTAGTATGTAATACGGGGTTTATGTAATGGTCAAGCAGTTACCCGGAACTCAACAAGATACGATACTTTTAGACAAATACGCCCACGTGTAAATCAATACTTGGTGAACAAATTAACAACGATACTTTGTTCTCATTTTCTTGTTAATCGTGACATTTCTATGAACGAAAATCAAAACTTCAATGCACTAGAGGCTTAACACAAATTGCACACAGTCGATTGACGATAAAACAAAGAGGTAGTCAATATTTGGAATAATCATCAATCGGCCTTTAACTGTTTCCACGCGTACCTAAAAGTCAACATTTCAAACAGTACAAAAGTTTTGTGTAGAAGAGTAATTTCTAGGTGCGCGTAAAAGAGAGAATTATTTTTATCACAAAAACTAAACTTTAAGTAATTACCTATCTAAAACCACTAAATATTTGTATCATTTTTATACTTTTTAAACTGTACATCACTAACAGTAGCATGTTTAATCATGTTTATGTATAGATCTAAACCTAGTTACTCTTCTCTATCCAAGAAAATAACGGAACGAGTAATAAAAAATTTTCAATAAGTTTAAGATCTTCAAACGTTACTTCTCTATTACTTCATTATGTGTAATAAACTAAACCTTGACACAGAGTATTGAATAGAATATGTGGTGATGGTACGTGGTATAATGGTGACATAATCCTTAATTATTCTTTTTTCGCAAATAAATTTTTAACAAACTGACATGTCAGTGAAATACATTTTAAAAATTAGCAAAGAATGATATAGCCTCAGATTATTATATTTATGTACAAGGATCCAAAATTAATAATCATCAAACTTTAAGTCCTAATCTACATATTCGACAAAACTAACATTAGAAACAAAAAAATCGATAATGAGTCCTTGCAATAGCTTCTAAAAATGCAAATATTCTTAACATATATCACATACAAGACACTTAAACTCATATCAATGGTATAATAATGTATACGGTTGATGCGATTCAATGCAGAAGGCATAGTGGTGCTGGAAATAGGTTATAAGGTTTATTATTAAAAATATAAAATATATTCAGTAATATCTAATATCGACACTCTAGTTTTCGAGACAAAACATTCAGTTACAGACAGAATATAATTAACATTGTATAAAAAATTCGAGAACGAGGAAGAAAACTTTAATCTAATATTTGTAATTTTGTAGCGATGTTATTGTATGGTTCTAGTGTATGTTGTAGTATGCATTCACCGGATAAATTAGCTTTCTAACATTGCTATTGCTATTAATCTGAGTGTTTAAGTGAGGATGAAGACAAAGAACTTAGTGAAAGTGAATATCCTGATACCATTTTAGCAGAACCAGGGGTTAGTGAAGTGGAGAGTGAAGATTCGCAGAAAGATAGCGATCAAAGAAGAAAAATAATATATAGAAAATATGGCACAGTTCGCTCGCCCAGTTCAAAACAAACATACTGTTTCATTTACCAGGTCCAAAGGCTCACGCTTGAAATAAACCAGAAGAGATTTTGGCTTGGAAACTTTTTCAGCGATTCAATGATAGACTATATTACTCAATACACCAACCAAGAAATCTCTCAATAATCTACTAAATTTAGTCGAACTCAAGTTTTACAACTGCTCCAAGCAAAAAAGAGATTTTGACATTATCCAGTGTTTTATATACGAGTGGTGTTCTAAAAACTAGCTACCTGAGTATCTCGGATTTATGGTCAAAACAATTTGGAATGGCCATTTTTAGAGCAACAATGTCTCAAAAACTCTTTGAATTTTTGATTCATTGTCTTCGTTTTGATGACAAAACAACCAAGAGACAAAAGAAAACCTGATGATAAATTTGCACCTGTAAGATTTCTTTGGAATTAATTTATTGAAAATTGTGAAGCTAATTTCACTCCTAGAGCACATGTGACAATTGATGAACAGTTATTTAGTTTCCGGGGCAGATGTCCTTTTAAAAAAGTTTATATTCCAAATAAACCCAACAAATATGAAATAAAAATCGGTATGTTATGCGACTATAAAACTTTTATATGTGTTCTACACTACTATATGTAGCAAAAGAGAAAATAGATGCATCAGAAGCTTTGCTCTCCCAATACGTTCTTCGTCTATGCAAAGATCTCTATGGCACCAATAGAAATGTCAACATGGCTAATTGCCTTTCTTCCTCAGATTTTACAGAACAGCTTTTATAACAAAAGTTGACAATGGTTGGGACTTTAGAGAAAACAAGTCTGACATTCCGCTAGAATTTTTCAAAAAGAAAATAATTGTTCCAAGTTATGACTTGGCTTTTTGACGTTTTAAGACTTTAGTACCATTTTCCAAATGTACCTTTAGTACCTTTACCAAAAAAATTGTTCTGTTGCTGTCAACATTACATGCTTATAGTGTACTTGATGAAGATACTAGCAAGAGCGAGATTGTTTCATTTTATATCCTAAAAAACGAGTAGACACAGACAGAGTAGGAGGATGATCATATATAATGGCATGCTTGATGGTGTCGGTGATTATGTTATTTATAGCGCAACTAGAAAAAAATCAGGTCCAAGTTTTAAAATTACTCTCAGGAAATATTTTCTTAGGCATTTAGCGCTACTCCGCAACAGAAGACTAATTTGTCCAACTTATACCCAAAGAAATTTAATTTTTTGAGACATTTTTATAATTTTACAAAATAAAAAATGTAAAATATATTTATTTATTATTTCATAGCATAAATTTAAAAAATGTCTGTGGTGTCGTATATGAAATCACGGCAAAATCAAAAATGTCGCTACCATTCTAGCGCGTTAATATGCCTGAAGCGAAAAGAAATTAAACACAAAATCAATAGATTCAAGACAGAAGTAGCAAACGAATTAAGTCTCAAGAAAAGAAAAAATAACTGAAGAGTACAAATAGTTCAAATATTAAAAGTAATCGAATAAAAAAATCAATAATTTTGAGAAAAAAATAAATGTTAGTTTAATTTTGAATCTTCAAAATTTATTTACACTCCTATATTAAACCCATTGTCATCATAGAGACCCTGACCGAAGTTCTCTCTTTATGCAATTACGAAATCCTACGCAGACTAAATGTAAATACGTATGACTAATTTCCTGATATTTACAAGAAACATCTTTGTAACGGATGAATGCTCCTTATCGCAAGTCGTGCAAAAATATTTTCTGATAGGATGTCCATTAAAAGATAAACAAGCGCAACTGTTTCAACACACACAGTTATTATCACTTAATATTGCATTGTAGAAATAATGTTTATTTTTAGAAAATTGTTGAATAAAATACATAAATGTTGAGTTTTAGGTGGACGATATTTTTATTAAACAGATTCTAGAGAAAAATACTTAATTAACGCAGCAGAACGAACTTAGATATAGATATCTAGGAAAAATAATCACATCAAGTACAGAATTTGAAATATCTCAGAACTCCAAGAAGCCCCTATTAATAAGAATTCAAGTTTGAGTCATCGTAAAATAAGACTTGAAAATTATTAGAAGACAAAAAAAGACGAATATGTAGCAATCAAGCAACAACATAGAAAATCATTGTTTAAAGATATTAAAAGCCACGAAAGCTGGAACGGTCTCACAGATAAATTAGGTTTAAAGATTATTAAAACCTCAGTGATCGATACATACATGTGAGTCACCAATATATGAATATGTATCCAGATTCTAAAAGTCTTCATGTGCCATATCCATGTACACGAACTTCAAGTTTAAGCAAATATTTAAAGGAAATCATTGTTGTTTCCCTGATTCAGTAATCATATAATTAAAAGTATTTTAAGTCAGCTATTGAGTATTTTCTTAGTCAACTGTTTATAAAACCAATACATTTTTTTTTATTATAATACTGTAGGGACTCTTTGAAAACTGATTATTTATGGAACAATTATTTTACAATCCTCACAGGATTCGATGCTATATTCGTTAAAAAGATGAGTTTTCTCCAACTTTCTTATATTGTAGTAAGTTCAAATATTTTAAGTACAAGATCTTTTGCTCCCATAAATTTAAAATGGAGAAATTAATAATATTCGAATATATCAGGTAACAAGTGTTAGAAGAGAAATCTCATTAAACTTATATCGATGTATTAAATAAAAAAAGAGTTCTTAAACCTATTCTCAGCACCTGCGCATCAAACCAAGACGTTTAAATATTAAAGTTTAAGTTGTCATGGGGTTAAAGAGTATGATAGTTAACTTCAATACGAGCTTTATAAAATTTAAAAGCTACAAATCCTATGGCAACCAAACCCAACGCTAAGACTATTCCTCCAATAAAACTGGGTCCGTCGAATCTAAAAACAGAACAGCATATTAATATAAAATACTAACAAGATATATAATATATACAGTGAAAATCGTTTACAACGACACCGGTTATAACGTACAATCGGATATAACAAACAAAATAGTAGGTCCCATAAAATGACATACAAAAACCGCATTTATATTACTTATAATGAACAAATCGGTTAGAGCAGTAGAACGTTTTTCTTGGAACACTAGCAGTTAAAATATTGGTTACACATGCATTGGTTTACACGTACAACTTCAAGTACATATCTAAACCTCGGATGATACAATATCCATTTTTTTCAATTATGAAATTTTTACACACTGTATAATAAATAAATAATAATTATAACCAACGCATGATGTAAATGACAGTGGATACAATGTTGAATATAATATTGTTTCCACTTCTTAATAAATAAGTTTAAAAGTGCTATCTATCCTGTAAAGTTATGAAAATGGACACATAGATACACACAATTGTATTTCTCACAGGTATTACCGATATTCAGTACCACGAAATGAGAAGTAAGGATTTATTAATATATGGTTATAGTACATCCGGACAGACATCTACACTTGATTACTTGTCTTTTAGACATTTAGACCTCCCAAGACGGGTCCATTGTGTTACAAAATTTTGTTTATATTAGACCATTTGGCCCAAGCCAAGAGTTTCTGAATTTGAATTCAGTTGTGTCTAGCCTTCATAGAAAACATGTCACGGAAACAATTTACTATTGAGGAACAGTTTGAAATAATTTGTCGAGTTGATTCCGGTAATTCCGTGAGCTCGATTGCCCGGGAATTTAAAACGTCACGCTCAACAATTGCTGGAATGATGAAACGACGAGAGAAAATTATTATGCAATTTAATAAGTGTGAAAAAGGAAAACGCGTTCGGTCATCAAATTACAGTGACATTGAAAGTGCTTTGCTCGATTGGTTCAAACAACAACGCGCAAACAATGTACCCGTGAGTGGACTGATGCTTCAGGTAAGGGCTGACGCTTTATCTGTGATTTTAAAGAAGGATTTTAAGTGTAATTCTTCCTGAGTTCAACGTTTCCAAACTCTCCACAATATTATCCATGGAAAAATTTCAGGTGAGTCATCAGTTGTTGACAGATCAATTACAAGTGACAGGGTTGAAAATGTGTGGCCTACACTCAGCTCCGGTTACACTGCCTTGTTAAGATTAGAACTCGTATCTGCAATTTTGAGATTTTTTAAGTTATAACGTCAACACATTGATAGCCAAATAATCTACCTATATGTTAAGAATTAAAGTACTATCTGCTGTTTAAAAATTTGTCGAATCTCCATTTGTTAATATTTTTCCAGTATCTTCACAAGACGATTTGTAGTTATGCAATTGCGTAGTTTTGAAAAAATATTCTAACAACAGGAAGATCTAACCTAATTATTCATAGCGTTCCCGACTTTTTAGTTTCTTAACCTAAAAATTAAACGGTTGTAAGCGTTATTCGGCGTATCTGATTTTCAGTTATTTACTAGTATTAAGTGTTTTTAAGTGTATTTACATTAAAGTTTATCAACTGAACCAGTAACAATGGACAAAAATAGCAGAGCATTTAAAATGTTGCATATTTTAAATAACCAACAAAGGGAGAAAATACATAGTTTACTAAACTTCAGCATGATAATGACCCCGATTTTATTTTGTCAGATTAAGAGACGGAAGAAATTGAGGAACCGAAATTAAGCAAAAAAGGTTTAAATAAAGTGAAGATTATTAGTGATATAACTTTGTGAGCTGCAAATGTTCCTGAAGAATCTGATTCCAAAGGTAAAGAAGGTAAGAAAGACTGTCTCCCCTTTATTCAAGAAATCTTGGTAGATATAATATATGTATCTGTTGAAAGGGAGGAAAAATATGTTACATTTCGATGTTCCGAAAAAATTACAAAAGCAAGACGAACAGAAATAAATGGAGAATTTTGTAAATTGCAAAAAGACAGAAAAAAAAAAATTATTTTTAATAACGCATCTGAACTAGTAACCAAAAGGAAAACCCCAGCTAGTGTTGTGTCTAGAAGGTCGAAAAGCTTTTTATATTTTTTTAAAGACAATGACGGTTGCAAAGTGTCTGCAAAATATTTTTTATGAGAACGCTGGTAAATGAAAAGAAAAATGACAGAGTTATTAGAGATGCCCTTACTAAAACAAATTCAAAAGTGACGGTCAACAGGAATAAACAAGAAAAGACAGGAAAAATTAAAATAGATCGAAATAGTATTAAAGAACATATAGAATCTTTCAAATTCACAGAACTACAATACAGTCGGGAACACGCGCCAGATGGACGTTACTTTCCCAGTGACATCACTATAAAAATGAGGTACCAGAATTTTATTGAAAAATATCCAAATAAGTTTTCGTATTATTTATATCGAAAAGTTGTCTTTAACTTTAAATATTTCATTTGTAAAATTAGGACACGAAGAGTGCTGGTTGTGTGAATCATTTGACTTGCATTCAAAATTCACGTCTCACAAAAAGAATACATTGGTGGATAATTGTGAGGAATGTACCAACTGTGGTGTACATCAAAATAAATACACTGCTACCAGATCAGAATATCAAACTGACTCGTCTGCAAAAACTAACTGGGACGATACATCAATAATCCTTTCGGCGGATTTGAAAAAGGTAATAAAGTATTATATTAAATATAAATATTTTATTTTGTTGTGATATTCTAGATCATAATGCTTCCGAGAATTGTTATGTTTAACGAAATTATTTTTACACCTAGAATAATTGCTTTTAATGAAAGTTTTGTCGGCACTGCTAGAAAGCCAACAGTACCAACTGCAATTTTATGGCACGAAGGAATAGCCGGACGGAGTAAGTCGGATATTGCCAGCACATTCTATAAATTTATTTGTCTCACCGAGACGCTAAAAATGTTATAGTGTGGCTTGACAATTGCTCTGCTTAAACTAAAAACTGGGCTTTGTTTACTTTCTTTACGTTTATTGTAAACTCTGAGGATATCGAACTTGAAAAATTAAGTATTAAGTATTTTGAGCCTATATATATATATATATGTATATATATATATATATATATATATATATATATATATATATATATATATATATATATATACAGTCAAAATCAAACTTCAGGGGACTGGTGGTTTAGGTCGTTAGAAGTGATTGCAATCTATAACTCAATTATCAACAAAATTTTGGTTAACCCATTCTTTCTCTCATAGCCTCAAGTAGTCATTGAATAATCCTGGTATTATTCCAGTTACCTTACTTTTTTTCACTTTGTATAATTTAAGCATAATGTGATTTATTGTTTCCAGGTAACAAGAAATCGTTTAATCAAACTATACTTCCACTAATTACATTTGATGAACTTAACTAACGCGTTTATTAGAATGACACAATATATACACCATTCTTGACCTCAATTAAAAAACTCGTATTAGTTAGTAGAACTGTCAAGAGGCGACACATTATATTATTGCGACAAAAATGATTTTCTAATATATTTAAAATGAAATAAAATTACTCTTTTAATTAATTTCAATGGAATTAAAAACACACCACAAAAATACACAAATCAACATTATATATATATATATATATATATATATATATATATATATATATATATATATATATATTCTTAGAAAGGGCTTTAGTGACTATGTGAGTAAGTGAGTAATATATACGGATATCTTGGGTTTAATAGTCAATATTGGCCTTTAAGTGAAACTCTTTTAGGTGTATTAAGCTTTCGAGTTTATTGTACTCATTTTCAAAACGTTTAAAAAAATGATATCATTTGAACTTGGAATAATTCCTTTAATATGCGTAAATTTTAAGAACTTTTATATTGTTATTCTTTTATTTAAAAGAAGATTACTGTATATAGCACTAAGATTTTCAATGTCTTCTCTTTTGTTTAAGGTGATTTGTGTATTGTTCTGAAGCTATTTTCTTGTGGCATTGTAAATTAATACTATTAAACTGGGAATAAGCCACAATTAAAGATAAAAATACGTTTATTGACGTTTCAATTTCCACTTCGGAAATCGTTCTCAAAATACAAACAGTAAATTTTGTGTAGTTTTAATTAAACACATTTCTAGAAACAGTCTTTTGTTGTAATTTCTTTCCCTTCTCAATATTTCTGTTTGATCATATATAGTTAGGCGTATGGCCCATTGTAATACAATGTTCACTTAATACACAGGCTTGTACTTTATTCAGATTAATGTCACTCTTGTGAGATGTTAATCTTCCGAACAAATTTCTGGGCGTTTCTCCAATATATACTCTATTACAATTATTACAGGGTAGAGAGTACACTACATTGGAGCTTTCTTTATTATTTAAGGGTGTTTTAAGTTTAGTATATAATTTCGATATTGTTTTTATATTTCTGGTTCCAATTTAATTACATTAGAGAAGGGAAAGAAATTACAACAAAAGACTGTTTCTAGAAATGTGTTTAATTAAAACTACACAAAACACCTTAAACAAAAGAGAAGACATTAAAAATCTTAGTGCTATATACAGTAATCTTCTTTTAAATAAAAGAATAACAATATAAAAGTTCTTAAAAGTTACGCATATTAAAGGAATTATGCCAAGTTCAAATGAGATAAATTTTTTTTCTTAATTACTTAGTATCATAAACTCTGTTGCTTGTTTAATAACTGCAAACGAAACATTCCTGCATATTATATCAAAATTTGCAATGAAGGTTTGCATAAACATAGACACTTCCTCTGTCAAACTAACTTAAAATAAATATAAAAAATAGAAGAAACATATAAACCTTAGTAATAAGTTAATAAGTTTTGACAGAACGAAAAGGAAAATCAAATTTAATAATGTCATCATATTAATTAATTTTGCTAATTTTAAAACACAATCCTCACGAGGGTAAGCTTATTGAAGATATAACAACTTCATTTTTCTAATGTAGTTTTTTATGTTAATTTTTAGTACGTTTT